CCCTCCCCACTCCAGGGGAAGGATACTGCAAAATCTCTGTTCCCTCCCCACTCCAGGGGAAGGATACTGCAAAATCTCTGTTCCCTCCCCACTCCAGGGGAAGGATACTGCAAAATCTCTGTTCCCTCCCCACTGCAGAGGAAGGATACTGCAAAATCTCTGTTCCCTCCCCACTGCAGGGGAAGGATACTGCAAAATCTCCGTTCCCTCCCCACTGCAGGGGAAGGATACTGCAAAATCTCCGTTCCCTCCCCACTCCAGGGGAAGGATACTGCAAAATCTCCATTCCCTCCCCACTCCAGGGGAAGGATACTGCAAAATTTTCATTCCCACCCCATTCTGGGACCAGGTAGAGGTGGTTTTTGCCAGTTCTCCGAACTACTCAAAATTTCCGCTACCCGTTCTCCAGAACCTGTCAGAACCTGCTGAATTTCACCCCCGGTTAGTTCTGACCAATAGGAATCTCTGTATACAATCTATTGGGATTGCTTAAAAGCTGAAGAACCATGCAGAAAAATAACGGTTTCAGGATCCCGGCAAAGAATTTCACCAGTTTTTTTTTAACTCAGAAAATGCCATTTTATTTTATGTTTGAAATTAGGTTATGACAATATGCTTTTAGACTTTTCACATGTTTTAATACAACGGTGATTCAGAATGTTACAGTGAATGTATCAGTGAGCCAAACATGTACATTATATGTATAATAATAACTAAAGAACAGGGCTGATTTCTAGTTTCAGTTAAATATTTGATTGATGTCGAACTTGGTTTTTGCTGTGTTAAACAATCTTTTAGATAACCCAAGTTCAGTCTTTGTCATCACTAAATGATCTCAGCTTTTTCTGAATACTTCCTAGCCAGCAAAAATGGTTAAAATAAATTGATACGGGCCATTGTGGAACAATATGAAATAGCTAATCAAAAAAGTCTCCACTGAGAGATACATGTATGAGTTTTTTGGGGGGAGGGGGGAAGAGGTGGTATTCAGCTGGTTCGGACTGGTTCAAATGAACCAGTAGCAGAAATTTTGAGTAGTTCAGAGAACCGGCAAATGCCACCTATGGTTGGCCCCGCCCTCCCGCCCCCGTCGTTCCCTGTGCTATATTCCTTTGTTTTTTAGCTCAGCGTGGATTGCTGCGCTTCAGCTGAGCTAAAAAACAGCTCAGTTCACCAACGCTGACACCGAGGGCGGTCTTTGAGTGCTGCGCATGTGTGCAAAGCGCATATTAGGCATGCGCGCAAAGCACTCATAGAACCAGTAGGAAAAGATTTGGAATCCCACTCCTAGGGGGTGTCTTCAAGACCTTGTACTCATGCTTCAATTTGTTTGCAACATTCCCTGTTTTTTTTTAAGCTTTGTTTTTTTAACCGTTGCTTTGTTTTAACTATCATAACTCTTGCAGTAAACCACAGGATGGAGCTTTTAGACAGCAGTTAAAATTTGTTGCGCATCAATGAAGGCAACAGCCCAATCCAAGTAGCCTGAGAATATACCAAGTAATACTTGATGCACCTAACTATGGAACTTTTAAGGGAGATAATGAATGTCTGAAAAACAAAACAATATCCCGAGAGATATTGCGTGCAGTCCAGAGAAGGTTGAATATTGCTGAGGGCTATTGTGCTATGTCATCTTTTATAGGAAATAGCATTAAAATAGATGTGATTCATGACAACCACACACAGAATATATTTGCAGGGTTTATAAATGCTGGGGAATTACAGCCTGCAATATTTAGTGATCTATAGCAGGGATGTCAAACTCGATTTCATTGAGGGGGGCCACATTAGAGTTGTGTTTGACCTCAGGGTGGGCATGACAGGATGGGCATGGCCAGCTCGACATCACTCATGTTGGGGGCACCTGTGGTGGCCCGAGTACTCTGCCGGTGAAAATGGGCTCCTGAGCTCCATTTTCGGCTGTGATGGCCTCCTGCATCCCTCTGGCAGCGAAAACAGAGCTCAGAAGGGCCGCTTGCAGCCCTCCCGAGCTCTGTTTTCACTGGCAGAGGCATTGCGGGATGGTCCTTTGCTGTTTCTAGAGCAGCCCCATGGGCCAGATCTAAGCACCCTGCAGGCCGGATCTGGCCCCCAGACCTTGAGTTTGACACCCCTGATCTATAGTATAGTCTTTATTGTCATTGTACAAAATCAATACAACGAAATTGGTTATATATAGGCATGTGGGTATGCAATTTTCCAAATATGTCCGTTTTATTCCTGAATGTAACCTTTTAAGAAATCAAGAGTCAGCTAAGGAATTGTTGCTAGAGGAATGTGGGCAAGATTTCTGGATCGTCTTCATCATGGCTTTGCTCATCACCCCCTGATATTTTCTTGGGCAGGATATGAACTCTTTGGCTTCATCAGTCACATGGGAACATCCACCATGAGCGGCCATTACGTTTGTCATCTTAAAAAGGAAGGAAGGTAATATAGCATGGCATTACTGGTTGTGATACAATTGTTACACAGTGCCCAAAAGTTGAACAAAAAGTTTGAGATCGACACTTCCAAGGAAACCCAAAAGGGCTTTTTCAAAGGCCACTGGACTTGTTCTTTTTCCTTGAAGATGTTTCGATGATGGAAGGATTTATAAATTCCTGTTGTGGCTGCTGGCAGACTCAGACAGTGAGGAGGTTGGGGAGGAACATGGGCCAGTCCTGGAGTCTGGGGAAGGCTCTGATGAGGGCTCTGCATTGGAGACAGAGATGGGGCCTTCAGAGTCAGATATCAGTGGGGCAGAAGAACAGGTGGAGCCTTTTCCCAGTGTGTGCATGCACAGAGTTGCCAGGAGAAGGGAACAGCTAAGGAAGAAGAGCCGATTTGGTAGTAAAGGAATAGGTGGACGGTGAATGGCCCTTCCCATAAAGAGGAGCGAAAGGGGAATGGAGTTTGCAGGAGACAATTAGTTCAATTCATTAGGGTGAGGATCTGTTCCTGACTTCTTGGTGAGTAATTGCTGCTACAGCGTGGCGTTTGGAAGATATCGGCCTGGCAACTCTTCAAGCCTGATAAAGGTCTGTAGTTGTGAAATCTGATGAAAGATTGTTTGCCGGGACTTTGCTGGAGAGGAATTCTCTTTAACCTTTAAAACTTTAAAAGAAGTTTTATCGGGACGAGGAGTCTGCCTCATGATCTTGGGAAGCCTAGGTCAGAACAATTCCCTTCAAGTGGACTCAGTGACTCTCAGAAAGAATGCTAAAGAGGAGATGGCTGCAAGACATATAAATCATTTCACCCTCCCCCATTCAGTCAGAACTGATGCAGCTTCTTTGGATGAGAAGTGAAACTTTACTTAAAGGTTAAAACAGTCCAGCTGTTTTTTGATAAAGCATTTTTGGAATAACCATGACTTGGATGACTGAGAATCTCCATAGTCTTCTATGGAAACCATGTCAGAAAATTACATTTCTAACATGAATGAATGAATGAATGAATGAAGGAAGGAAGGAAGGAAGGAATGAAGGAATGAAGGAAGGAATGAAGGAAGTAAGGAAGGAATGAAGGAATGAGGCTGACTTCCATATTGGCAGTGGTTTTGGATAGGGATTAAGATCCTACCACAGATTCTTTTAAATGTTGGAAGCAGTCAAGCTGCGGATTGTTCCTTATCTTAATTATCCAGATAAGAAAAATCAATATTGTCAGAGTTTGTGGATCAACACATCTGACTAGCACACAAATAAATGAACTTCTTCAGGATTCAATTATATATAAGAAACTTCTTTAGATACAATACCATACATCAGAAGTCAACATACAAAATCAGGAACACAGAAGCAATATTCATAGAAGCAAGTCATTACAGAGTAGAGAGAAACAGAGGCCTATATTGTACAGAAGCTGCGAAGTTACAGAGTCCAAACAAACTCTTACATACAGTTCAGCAAGTCTAAACCACACCAGTCTCTAAAATGTCTCTTATGGCCCCATACAAACAAATACTATGTTTCAGTTTCCAAACAGTCCCCATTGGCTTACCTGTTACCATGTCTGCCCAAACAGTCCCCATTGGCTGACCTGTTATCATGCCTATCCAAACAATCCTGTGGCTGACCTGTTACCATGTCTATCCAAACAGTTCCCATTGGCTGAGCTGTTCCCATGTCTATTCCAGTCTATGAACATTCAGACTCTGACAAATATATGTGCTTAATCATATAAGATGGGGGTGATGGTAGTAGTGGTCTCAGCGGTTGTAAGCGTTCCTTGTCCATTTAATTTAATTTGATGATGTTCACTGCATTTTCTTCTTCTTTCTCCTTTTCAGGTGGGTTATCTACAACGACCATAAAGTTTGTGCCTCCGAGCAGCCACCCATAGAGCTAGGATATATTTACTTCTATCACAGGATACCAAGTTAGACCTCACTATGTTCTGTGGCCTTAAGAAGCCATAAGCCTTTTTATTCTGCCAAAAATGTGTTTCAAGTAAGCAAAGCCTTTGGACTGCCAAAAAAGAAAAAGAAAAAAAAAGAAAAAGCAAAGCAAAGCAAGAAGGGAAATATTTGGTCCTATTTATAGCTTAAATCAGGATAATTCAATTGATGCCTTCTTAAACCTTTAGAGGAGAGTTTTCTGTTAAATGATGGTGCACTGTAGGATTTTAAAGTTTGTCTACATTTTGTGGAGACCTTAAGACTGTTCTGAACCACTAGCAGAAGTTGCAGCAAACATCCAGAGAAAATTGTTCCCACACCGAGAAGAACCTGCCATTGTTTTAATCCTTAAAGACTGATGGTTGCTAAGCAGTTGCTTTGAACTAGGAATTCGTCACTCTGCTGGATGGAATCTATTTGCTAGCATGAAAAGTTGCTTATCTGGAGCCCTAAGTTTCCGATTAAAAAGGAAAAGGTAAAAAAAAAAAAAGCCCCCAGAATATTTTGCAGACTTTAGAGCTTGAAATTAAACCTAATCATTGAAGCCAAGGTGACTTATATTGTCTCCCAATACAGTCTGAATGTTCTTTTTTTTTCCATTTGGGATTCGATCACATGCCATGATTTTTTTTTTAATTTCTGCACTGGATGATTGATGGCCTTAAAGTTCCTGTCTAAGAAAGTGCCCATGTCATCCACTGCCATGAATCAGCGTACACACAGTTGCGTTTAGATAGCTGTGTAACTGTGTCCCTGCCACCACTCTGCACAAGTGTTTATGTGGATGGATTAACATCAGTAGGGCTGTTTTTCGTTTTCTGTTACGAATTGCGAATAAAGTTGTAAACATGCATCATAGAAATGCATAGGAAATGGCTCTCAATATTGTCTTGTGATGGGATGTAAACAGTAGGCAGTCCTCACTGAGCAACGGCAGTTGGGACCAACAGCTTGGTTGTTAAGCGAAGCAGTCCCTCCGTGAGAAGGGTCTAGGACAACTTGCCATGGCCAACTTCCTTGGCCAACTTGCCATGGCCAACTTGCTTGGCCAACTTGCCATGGCCAACTTGCTTGGCCAACTTGCTGCGGAATAAGAGTTACACTAATACTGAAGAAATGATTGAATAGAATCATTAAAGAAAGGATGTCAAAGGAGGGACAAAATGAAATGTGTATGACAAAAATTAAAGTTATTTTTAAAATTATTTTAAATAATAAAACCGAATCGTAAAATTTCCCACGGGGAGCTGTTCCATGCCGAATTGGCTGTGGTGAGTTGACCACGACGATTCGGCCACGGCGAGTTAGTTGCGGCAAGTTGGGCCAAATGAGAATCACATGACTGTGGCTGTGCTTATGATCTTACTTCAGTTTTCCTTTGGTTCTTGCTACTTTCTTCAGCTGAAAAGATCGTCTTCCTCCTTCTCTTTGAGGACATCTTGGTATGAGCTAAATAAACAAATAATTGAGCAAGGGTATCAAACTCAAGGCCTGTAGGCTGAATGCAGCCCAGAGACTGCTTAGATCTGGCCTATGGGGCCACCCTGGAACCAGCGAAGGACCGGCTCGCGGTGCCTCTGCCAGCGAAAACAGAGCTGGGCAGAGGGTTGTAGGAGGTTGTGGCAGTCGAAAACAGAGCTCTGGAACCCGTTTTTGCTGGCCGAGGACTCGGGCTACCACAGGCACCCCTGACACAAGTGACAGTGGTGGGTTTCTACTGGTTTGGACCAGTTCAGACCGTTAGCTCTGACTGCAAGCCGAGAGCGAACCTGTTCTCTGTTTCCGTGAAAGTGGGCCCGCCCGTCCCCGGGTTATACTGACCTTTATTTCTGCTTCTGAAGTCCAGCTGATCAATGGCAGCAGATTGAATTGCCTCCCCTCAGCTGCTTTCCTTGCTCCTTTCCTTGTTTGCAATGTGTCACAAAACGAAGTTGCGCATGGCGCGCACGCAAAACCAACCAGTTGTTTAGCCAGTAGGAACCCACTCCTGACAAGTGACATTGACGTGGCCATGCCCACCCTGGCCACACCCCCAGCCCTGGTGGAACACAACCCTGATGTGGCCCTCAATGAAATCGAGTTTGACACCCCTGTTGTGAAAGCCATAAATGTCAGGATTGATCGCTCAGTTGTTTTTTAGCACTGTTTGAGTGATGGCTAAAGGAAGCCGCCACTAAGCAAGGACTATTTATATCCAACTATTGAGCACCCTTGGATATCGTTCACAGCCAGAAAGCCATTTTTGGCACCAACCCGATCGCAACACACCCTTTGGAACAAAGGTGCACCCGTCCTGTGTTTTTATTGCAAAGTTCAGCATTTTAGCATTCAAGAACCCGTGTTGTTATATGCCTTCCACTGAGAATTTTAAAATGGTAGCCCTGGTCATTTATAGAGAAATTTGATGAAACTAGCCTCAACAACGAAGCAGTAGAAGTGATGTGCCAGTGCCTAGAGGCTGTTAGGGTCTGGATGGTAGCAAACAAGTTGGCACTCAATCCAGACAAGACCGAGTGGCTTCTGATGTTCCCTCCCAAAGATTGGCTAATTATTCCATCTCTCAAGCTGGGGGGGTGAAATTATACGCCCCTCAGAGAGGGTTCGCAATTTGGGAAT